AAATTAAACGAATTGAATGTTTACGTTAAGTGATTCCAGCAAAATTTTGCAACATATTAAGAGAGTTGAGTTACTCTAAATGAGGACCGGTGATGAATTCTCTTAAACGAACGATTTTTTCTTCTTTCACGGGTTTTCTTTATTGCTTAGATACTTTAACCTGGTTTTGCTTAATTATTAACGGAATGTGTAGCTTTTAGAATCTCTGAGCATTCTCAGAAGTACACCTTTCGGGATCGAGTGTAAAAGGATAAATGGAATGGAATGCATGCCTAAATGTTGACTTGGCTAAGTAGTGCTTATGGTTAAATCTCTTGCACTAACAATTACACAAAGTATTTTTAATCGTAAGCCTGGAGATTTGAATACGTTGGTAATTGATATCCAAAGCAATTAAAAATTTTTTCAATTTTAAAACGAAAATGTAAAAATATGAATATTGATAGCTCGACGTTTTCCTGGAAACATTTTTTAGAAGAGAATGAAAATTTGTACGAGAGCATTGTATACAATGATTATATATATATATATATATATATATATATATATATGTATACATATTTGTAGATATATTCAGTATTAAAAGCATTACATTTTTTTACACTAAATGTTGTAGAATGCACTTATTTGGAATTTTTTGTTAGTATTTAAATATATATTTATAATGTTGTTGTTGTTGTTGTTGTTATTATTGTTGTTATTATTATTATTGTTGAATATTTTTGGTTTGTGTGTTGGTCTGGCGTTTTGTGGTTAACCATAACAATTTCGCTAGGCTTTGCTGTAATGTGAATGTCTGGTATTGACGGCTGGTTTCATTTTTCTCTTTTAGTTATTCATTTCATATATTTATGTGTATAGATATATATATGTAGAGTACGCAGAAACGTACAGCTTTTCTACCTTTTTTTTTTTTTTTTTTTTGAATGCTTTCAATTGTGTTGGTTGATAGGGGTTATGTATATATATATATACTTGTTTATATGCATAGATACAAACGCAAATGTATAAATATATATATATATTAATATATATGGTCTTTGTGTAATCTCAGAAAGAAAAAAAATCATTTTAACAGAAAAGTGGAAATTTTTTTCAAAGCTTTTGGAAGCAAAGAAACTATATATATACACTTAACCACCAAAAAGCATCGAACGGACGACGAGGTAAATCGTGCATGTGGTGTCTGGTCGACCGTAACCGAATAATATGGCAAAAGTCGTCGTCGTCGTCGCTGTCGTCGTCGCTGTCGTCAGTTGCTGTTTCTTAAGAATGATTTTCTGCTTCCAATCTCTAGACAAAGTATGGATTTTAATTTTGCAAATTCGTAACTGACTTCCACTCATCAGCATAAAAAGAGCATAAATCTTTTAAATTTCTTTTTCGTTTATTTACCAGCAACATCGTAAACATATTTTTTATTATTATGTTGTTTTTTTTTTTCTCATTTATTATATATACCATACACGTACGTACATATAAAGATCGCTTTAAATATTATATGCATATGCATGCACATAATATTCGTTTTAGGTATGTAGACATATTTATAGGTTTATGGGAGGGTATAAGATATTTAGCTAAAGGTATATAAAGCTATGTGTGTACATTCGCCTATACGTGTTCATCAAGTTGATTTAACGGAAGTGGTAACTTCCTTCGATCGATATGAAATTTATTTTAAATAAATTTATTATGTAGAAGACTTACTTGTATCACACGCATCGGTAACCCAGTTTCTTTCGCGAGCTGTTCTCGAATATGTCGCGTCGGTTTCGGTGTTTGATTAAAGGCTGTCTTTAGCACCTCTAGCTGTTTGGCTTTTATCGTTGTACGTGGACCGCGTCTTTTTGAACCATTAGCGTCGTCGGGACTTTTATTTTCTGCCTGGGAATCACCTCGACCATCAGGGTCACCATCTAAGGATCCCTGCAAACAAATTGGAAATTTTTTATTATTTAAAAATATACTTTTGATACCAATCCCTTTCCTTCCTGTCTAATTGTGATTGTATATTAATCTCAAAGGTCGCCAATTTGGAAAGTCTTAACTTAGTCGAAAACTAGGCATTATTTATGCATGTTAAGGTGGAAACTCAAATAGTTAGTTTAAAAAATAAGTGAATGGGAAAGACTTCAGCTATATTTACAGTACAACAGTTAACAATTGCACGACGCTCTCTTAAGAATACTGACGTAGGCGTACGTTACGCTTTTGGTAATGGAATCGTTTTGTTAATGACTTATAGGCAAAAGTCCAAAGTTTCTTATCATTCTCTTTTAAACCTTAACCTAAAAATACTAATTTCTTTCGCAAATTTTCAGTACTGTATGATGAAATTTCTTCATCTTGGTGGTGAAGAGAAATTTCACATTTGACGTTTACGCTAAATTGATTCCAAATATTACGTCTTTCGTTATGAATGCACAAGAAACGCACTGCGGCCTAGTAGTCGATAAAAAAAATTTGCATATGAGCAATAAACAGACTTGGTTAGGACAATATTTAATTCTTTTTCAAATTTGGAGAGTTTAAACTACACGCGCCGTCAACAACTCTTTCCGTCGTATTAAATTATTTCAGTTATTTTTAATGTTTTCGATTGAACTGTGCGACTCGATTCGATTATCTTTTTATGATCTAGAATAGTTAATTTAATTTATGAGATCTTCGAAGATCTTGTTCGGGGGAAATAAGGGCATCGTGTGTCGCAATGTGGTGCATGTGCATATAAATATATTTACCATTTACCTGATCTGAATCGTCGTGGGTATTTTTGCTATCGGTACTCATACTTTGTACTGAAATATCTGATGCTCCCAGTGGTCCGCCCGCTGAGTCTGGACCGTTAGGTCCCAAGACACCAAGTCCAAGAGACGAACCTCGTAAATGCGGTGGGTCATCATCATCTTCATCTTCACTCGCTGATCCCATTAAAGAGTCTGTTAAGGAGAAAGAGATGACAAAAAATAAAACAAAAAGAAAAAATGCAAAGACGTGATAAATTTTCAATGGTTGTCATAATTTTATCTAACGACCTAACAAGCCAATGATGTGATTCCTTTAAATGGATTCGAATTTTGAAACATGTGCATATGTTTATCATTTTGTTATGCTAATCTCAAACGCATGTACGATAGATAATGTAAATAAAATGATTTTGAGTGCTGCATGGGTGCGGCACGTGTCACAATTTCAAGGTTTTCCCAATTTAGATCCATACCGAATAGGACAAGTTTCGCAATGCAATCAATGGCAATAAAAAACGCAAAATACAATCACGAATGCATGAGGTCAACACGCGCCCTATTCGAATTTCTAATTGTTATATAATTTGATTTCGCGGGCTATCTCGGCAATGGCGTATGTACTACTATTACTGCTACATATAGCCTTTACCAGTACTAGTTTGTTTTATGCTGACAAAATTTTAAGAGCTTTAAGTTTCTCATCAACACAATGTGATGAGTAAATTTGGTTAAATAAATCTTTCCCCATTCATTTTCAGCACTTAATCCTTTGGGTATTGACTCTAAGTTATGTGATTTCGTTTACATTGGCTTTGCTTTGCAAAACGTTGTCATCCTTTGGGGAATTCTATTGATTTCAGTATCAGTTTTCATCTCTGCATTGCAACAAGACTGCGAAGCGCTTTCTTCTTTAAATTGATTAATTATTTTACGTTATGTTAATACGTTTTTTTTTTCTCGTGTGTGTCATTCTGCGTGTCTCTTTCCTATCACTTTGATTTAATGGGAAGGTTTTGTACATTTAACATCAACACGAAGGTTAAAGGAAACGTTCGTTTCGTTTATGTTATTTACATATTTACAGTGCAAAATTTAAATAGAGAGCTTAGGATGAACAGTCCTAGATATCTAAAATGATAATTGCAAGCTGAACTATTATAAAATATAAGTATATATATTTTGTGTATTAGGGGGGGAATTTTCTAAAAAATCATTCCTAAGCACATGGGTCATTAGGAATTATTTAAGTGCGATTTTAATTTAGGTAACTTAACCATAATTGTTTTTAGCACAGCGCCTCCCAAAAATCGATCATCTATGTTTGCCGATAGATATTTCCATTACTTTTTAACATAACCAAAAATATTATGTCCTGTGTCCGAGAATGTGATTTACATATTGACTTTTTACTATTGGATAATATAATTTCATATTTCCTATCTCTTGTTTCGTACGTAAGGTTTATGTTCTTACGAGAAATAACACTTTTCAATGTACGAAAATATGGTTTACATTTCACAAAAACAAATTAAATTTAAACTTATATCCCCGCTATTATATAGGATTGGATATCAAAATTTTGCAGTTGAAAAGAAAAGAGAGAATTTGAAGCAGCGCAATGTACTAATGATATGATTGTAAATGTGTCCCAAATAGCTACAGACTGAGTCGAACGTTTTCTCATCCACTTATTTCTTGTTTTATTAGATAACTATAATAAGTTTTTAAATCAAATTATTTCTTCTTAAATTGCTTATTAATATTATGCTTTCGGGAAGAAAAATTGCGAAAAATTACACCATGTACTGTTGCCGTATATCATATCTTCGGACAACAGAAAAGACAAATATGAGTCGTATGAATCATGTCCACAAGGACAGATGAAATCAAACCTTTCCTGCGTTATAAGAACGTGACGATACGACATAAGATATCTAATATAATATATGATCGCGAGAGCTTGGTTTTTTATTGTAAATTATCTTTTCCAACTTATGAAACAACATTTGTATTCCTTAAGAAAATATATGTAATAGAACACATCTGATAAATAGTTAACTTCGCTTGACACTTTGTTTTGATAGGAAAAACAAGAAAGAAAGAGAAAGAAACAAAAAATCAAGAAACACCAAGTTTAAGCAATTAATTCGAACAAAAGAAATATTAATTACTGTATATTAATTTATTTAGTACACATTAACGAATCGATAAGCTTCTTTAGTTCATAGCAGGTCCTGTATTCGATTTGCAAATTTAAGGCAGACTTAACGGCGGCTATTGCTGAAGCTTAGCTGAAGCCCCATTTATCTTATTGGGCATTAATGTGGCCATTTTAGCCGAAGGGCATCAAAATTTCGTCTTAAATCAAATATCAGTTGATTTCATGTTTTATTACTACTTTTTTGCTTTTTTTATTATTGTCTCTTTAAGGCATCCCCGTATCAAAAATGTGCATATTTATGTTAAACAATGGCTATTTAAATAGAAACATTTGCGATGGCAAAAGGAACGATAACAGTTATAAGCAATTGAACCTCATCTGTTGTGGATTAGATTACGTACCATTGAGTATAATAATTTATTGGATTAGAAGGGTGGTGGCATTATAGCGCTAGCGCAATAGAAGGCAAGTGCTTTTCTGCCAACTGTTACGATATTAACAAAATTTTGTGCGTCTGTCCTCATATCTGTATCGTGGTTAAATATAATGCATTTACTGAACAGAAACTAAGTATTATAAAGTTATCCCTAGAGGACTTTTTCTGATTTTTTTTTTTTTTTTTTAAATTTTTTTTTACTAAATAAATCCTGGGAGTTTTCATATGATTTATAGTTGCTTGTAATAAATTCACTTTCAAGGTCAACTGATTTTTTTTGGAATTTTTGTATTTTTAACACAGTAACTGTTTCTTTTTTACTTTTTTTTTTTAAAAACTTGAAAAACGTGAAAGGGGACAAACCTTTTGGTAGAAAACCGTCTTAACTTTTTATACGATATACATTTTCAAGGATGTCAGAAAAGCAAAGAATGACACGGAAATAAAAAAAGCCATGTTTCTAAATAAGTTTGAACAGATTTTTGAGACAGGTATCAGATATAAATCAGAAAAACGTTTAGTGAAGATATGGAATTAACCCAAATTTAGATAAAAAAAAAACAAAAACAAAAAAATGAAAACACAACAGAAAAAATTAAAAAAAAAATGAAAAACTGAAAAACCTTAATAAATAGTGAATGAAATGCCAGAACCTTGACAAAGTCAAAATGCATTCGTGTAGAAAATTTCTTGATCTGCACCATTATCGTGGTACACTAACAAGCACATATAAGCGAATTCGATGAATACGGGTGGGAGAAGCTAAGCGAGCAGGAAGATAATTTTTAACTTATATATCAGATAGATAAGATGTAAGTGAGAGTGTGTATACGTTTTCTCAGTTCTTTTCTCTTTATTTTATTTATTTATTTTTTTTTTTTAAGTTTTATTGTTATCTTCATTCTTATACGCTTTATATATATTTGTAAATAGGTTTTCTACATATATGTACGTGTGTGTACAGCCGTGTATCTGTTGTTTGAACTTAAAGATGATTTTTCTACATCATGAAACACATGATGCAAAACTAATTTGAAATTAATGTTATGTACGTGTTTCTATACCATACCATATATGTGTGCGGTAGTGTGTTTACAAATGGTAACAAAAACATTAGCTATAGCTTTACCAAGGTGAACGTAAGCTACATATGTTTAGCAATATATATATATATATATATATATATAGCTAGATGTATGTATGTAAGTATATATATATGTACGTTTGTGTGAAGATGTGCTTGCATGTGTAAAGAGCAGTATAAACAGCAGGCAGTCTTCAATGAAAAGTTTAGGGTGGCGGCGGTTCAAGTGTTTGTTGTAAAGCGACGATAAACGGCACTTGTTCCGGCAACCAACATCCCATAGCCATTCTTCTCCGTCTATATTCATTATTGTTTAACATTGTTTTGCTTGCCTGCTTGCTTGCTTGCTTGCTTGCCTGCTTGCCTGCTTGCTTGCTTGCTTGCTTCCTCGGTGCATGTAATGTTTGTACATTTCAATGTACGTATGTAAATGTGTGCATGTATGTATACACGCAAACGAGTACTTTTGGGAAATTTCGGCTCGTTTATTTATCCATCTCACTTGTAAAGCAAACATTCAAGGATAACAATAAACAGCATGCAACAAACAATAAGGATCGCTGGCTTCCATGCAAGTTATTTGACTGTTTGGTTGTTTATTTGTATGGCTGTCACATCAAAAAAAAAAAAAAAATTTTTTGCACTTGTTCGTCTTCCAATTGTTATGCTTGATATTTATATATATCACATACATACATACACACACAAACATACGTGTATATATATATATATATGTATATATGTATTCGAGTGATTGCTTGTATATTATGCTATTCATCCATCCATCAACCAGCCATTCGTCGTTGTACCATGAACAGAATCATCAAAGTGCTTATGCTGAGTATTTACACACGGCAAACAGTGGAATATTTTATCGAGTGTTTATTTTACGACTTTTTTTTTTTTTTTTTTTTTTTTTTTGGGAAATTCTTCCCTTTTTTTCAGTGGGTGATGCTGATGGTTATAGCGGTTGTTGTAGCAGTACTAGTGCTACTAGATATAGCAGTAGTAGTGGTAGTTGTAATAGTAGTTGTAGTAGTTGGTGGTTGATATATGTACACACAACCCTCCTGCTGGGCGTTAGGAAATTATGTACAAGTAAAATTTCCTTTTGAATGGCATAATTGTTGTTTTACAAACAATAGAAACCAAGTTTAACATTAACAAGAAATTAGGATTCGAATTTTGTTTTTTTTAAGTTCACATATATACGCACACTTCAGTGCTGGTGTTATTGTTTGTTGTTTGTTGTTGATGTTATACTCGTGTAGCAATAAAATGAAGTGTTGCTGAATGGTTATTGAAGTTAATTTAAGTGATGCTTAAACAAGTGTTTGGACGAACATGTGCTAAGAAATTGTTTGTTACTTATGCAAGTAGATCTTCTTTGTTATTGTTGTTATTGTTGTTATTGTTGTCCTTATGCATGTAATTTTAAAACGTCTAAGGGGTGTTGTATACGAGAGCTACATATAGGAAATCTTAAGTTTTTGTGGTTGAATTAAAATTTC